CAGGGACCCCCTGTCCCCCCCCTGTCACCCTGTGTCACCCCCGTGTCACCTTTGTGACACCCCTGTCACCCCCTGTCACCCTGTGTCACCCCCCGTGTCACCCTGTCCCCATTCCCGATGTCCTCCCTCTGCCATCCCTGTCCCTCTCCCGCTGTCCCCCTGTCCCCATTCCCAGGGATCCCCCTGTGTCCCTGTCCCTGTCCTGGTGTCCCCCTGTCCCCTCAGTGTCCCCTCAGTGTCCCCCTGTCCCCTCAGTGTCCCCTCAGTGTCCCCTCAGTGTCCCCTCAATGTCCCCTCAGTGTCCCCTCAGTGTCCCCTGTCCCCACAGATCTCCTGGTTGGCGCCTTCGGGGCGGACGCGGCCGTGGTTTACAGGTGAGCGTCACCCGTGTCCCCCGTGTCACCTGTCCCCCGTGTCACCTGTCCCCCGTGTCACCTGTGTGACCCGTCAGCGGTGTCACCTGTCACCCGCGTCGCCTTCGGGGCGGACGCGGCCGTGGTTTACAGGTGAGCGTCACCCGTGTCCCCCGTGTCACCTGTCCCCCGCGTGGCCCGCGTGGCCCGTCAGCGGTGTCACCTGTCACCCGCGTCAGCGGTGTCCCCGGTGCCGGGGGTGGCAGGTCCCTGACGCGCTGTCCCCAGGGGCCGCCCCATCGTCCACGCCAGCGCCAGCCTGGCCATCGTCCCCTCCATGTTCAACCCCGAGGAGCGCGGCTGCGCCCTGGCCAGCGGCCACCACGCGTCCTGGTGGGTGACACCGGGACACCGGGACAGCAGGGGGACAGCGGGACAGCGGGGACAGTGAAGGGACAGTGAGGGGACACCGGGGACACCAGGGGAACAGGGGGGACAGTGAGGGGACAGTGAGGGGACAGCGGGGACAGTGAGGGGACACCGGGACAGCGGGACACGGGGACATCGGGACACCGGGACACGGGGACAGTGAGGGGACACCGGGGACAGCGGGGACAGTAAGGGGACAGCGGGGACAGTGAGGGGACACCGGGACAGCGGGACACGGGGACATCGGGACACCGGGACACGGGGACAGTGAGGGGACACCGGGGACAGCGGGGACAGTAAGGGGACAGCGGGGACAGTGAGGGGACAGAGGGGACAGTGAGGGGACACCAGGACACCGGGGACAGCGGGGACAGTGAGGGGACACCGGGACACCGGGGACAGCAGGGACAGCGGGGACATTTGGGACAGTGGGGGGACAGGGCAGGGACCCTGGGGAGAGTGGAGAGGGGATTGGGGACACTGGGAGGGGACACTGGGGACATGGGGACACCGGGGGCTCCCGGGGACACGGGGACAATGCGCTGGGGACACCGCGGGGTCCTTGGGTGTCCCTGCTGGGGGGACAGGGTTGGGGGCAGCCAGGGGTGGCCAGGGGGACACTGAGGGGACACAGAGGGGACGCACGGTGCCACCCCTGTGTCCCCCCCCAGCATCAATGTCACCTTCTGCCTCAACGCCTCCGGACGTCACCTGCCCGGGCCCATCGGTGAGGGGACAGCGACACGGGGGGGGGACAGGGGACAGTGAGGGGACAGGGGACACGGGGAGGGGACAGGGACACAGGGGGACGGGACAGTGAGGGGACAGGGGACAGTCAGGGGACAGGGGACACGGGGAGGGGACAGGGGACACGGGAGGAACAACGGGGACATCGCGGGGACCAATGGAGGGGACAAATGGGGACGCGCAGCTCGGGGACACCGCGGTGGTCGTGTCCCTGTGTCCCCGCGGTGTCCCCGCGGTGTCCCTGACGTGTCCCGCGGTGTCCCCGCGGTGTCCCCGCGGTGTCCCCTGCCCAGGGCTGGCGCTGGAGCTGAGCGCGGACGGGGCCAAGGCGGGGGGGGCGCGGCGCGCGCTGTTCCTGGGGGGGGGCGCGGGGGGGGCGCCCCCCTCCCCCACCCGGAACCTGACCCTGGAGGTCCCCAACGGGGGGACCCCGCGCTGCCACACGCTGCCCGTCATCCTCAGGGTAAGGGGCGCCCGCCGCCCAAAACTGCCCCAAAACTGCCCCGGAACTGCCCCAAAACTGCCTGAAACTGCCCCAAAATACCCCAAAACTGTCCAAAGTACCCCCAAACTGTCCAAAGTACCCCAAAACCGCACAAAACACCCCAGAACCGCCCCAAAATACCCTGAAACTGCCCCAAAACTGCCCAAAACATCCCAAACTGCCCAAAACACCCCGGAACTGCCCCAAAATACCCCAAAACTGTCCAAAGTACCCCCAAACTGTCCAAAGTACCCCAAAACCGCACAAAACACCCCAGAACCGCCCCAAAATACCCTGAAACTGCCCCAAAATACCCCAAAACCGCCCCAGAACTGCCCAAAACACTCGAAACTGCCCCAAAATACCCCGAAACTGCCCCAAAACCGCTCTAAAATACCTCGAAACTGCCCCAGGACCCCGAAACTGCCCCAAACCCACCCCAAAACACCCCAAAACTGCCCCGGGACCCCTCATGTCAGCCCCGTGTCACTCAGGGCAGCCCCCGTGTCACCTCTGGGTCCCCTGTGTCACCTCCCTGTCACCCCTGGGCCCTCCCCCCCGGTGTCCCTGGGCCAGCGCTGTCCCTGTCCCCTCTCCCCCGGTGTCCCCATGTCCCCTCGGTGTCCCCATGTCCCCGGTGTCCCCATGTCCCCCCGGTGTCCCCATGTCCCCCCGGTGTCCCCGTGTCCCCAGAACGAGTCCGAGTTCCGGGACAAGCTGTCGCCCATCGCGCTGTCCCTGAGCCTGGCCCTGGACCCGGCCGTGTCCCCTCCCCCGCCGGGGCTGTCCCCGCTGCTGTCCCCGGCCACGCGCACGCGCCTGGAGGCCAAGGTACCGCTGCCACCCTGTCACCTGTCACCTGTGTGTCACCTGTGTCACCCTGTGTCACCTCTGTGCTGTCCTGTGTCACCTTGTGTCACCCACCCCATGTCATCCAGCGTCCTGGTGTCCCCTGTGTCCCCATCACCCTGATGTCCCCAATGTCCCCCCAATGTCTCACACGTCCCCATGTCCCCACTGCTGTCCCTGCTGATGTCCCCTCTGATGTCCCCGTGTCCCCCGTGCTGTCCCCATGTCCCTGCGCTGTCCCCTGTCCCTGATGTCCCCTCTGATGTCCCCGCGCTGTCCCCTGTGCCTGATGTCCTGTGCTGTCCCTGTGTCCCCGTGCTGTCCCCATGTCCCTGCGCTGTCCCCGTGTCCCCGTGCTGTCCCCGTGTCCCCGTGCTGTCCCCATGTCCCCTCTGATGTCCCCATGTCCCTGTGCTGTCCCCGTGTCCCTGTGCTGTCCCCATGTCCCCTCTGATGTCCCCGTGCTGTCCCAGGCCCACATCCAGCTGGACTGCGAGGACAATGTCTGTGTGCCCGACCTGCAGCTCGAGGCCAGCGCGTAAGGGGACACGGGGACACGGGGGGACATGGGGACACTGGGGACACGGGGACACTGGGGGACACCAGGGACAGGAGGGGACACTGGGGACACCGGGGACAGGAGGAGACACGGGAACACACAAAGGCACTGGGGGCACCGGGGAGGGGTGGCTGTGCCCAGGGTGTCCCTGTGGATGTCCCCATGTCCCCAGTGTCCCCAATGTCCCCAGGGACCGGCGGGCGGTGTTCCTGGGGGGGTTTGGGTGTGTCCCTGTCCCTGTCCCCAATGTCCCCAATGTCCCCAATGTCCCCAATGTCCCCGTGTCCCCAGGGACCGGCGGGCGGTGTTCCTGGGGGACAGGAACAGCCTCAACGTGACGTTCCAGGCGCGGAACGTGGGCGAGGGGGGGGCGTACGAGGCCGAGCTGCACGTGCGGCCCCCCCCGGGCGCGCTCTACTCGGGGGTGCTGCGCCCCCACGGGGTGAGGGGGGCACCCTGGAATTGGGGAGGGGGCTGGGGGGGCACCCTGGAATT